CGCCTCTATTATTTTTGTGCTATGTTGTGGTATATGTACAGTATATGATCAGTATATGCATAGTATATATATGCTTCAAAATAAAATTCAAAAACATTTTTTTTAGCAAATAGACGCAAATGACGGGCAAAATAATGAGAGAAAGTTGAATTGATATGGTAACTGAATCAGGCAAATTAAATGAATGTGGAGAGTGGTTAGAATTAAATGGTAACTGTCATTATGCATTAATGTAGATAAATATTACTCCCTCCATTTTTTTTTTTTAATGTCATTCTAGCTTTTTCATCTATTTGTCAAATAAATGTCGTTTTGGATATTTTGTACTTATTTTTCTATTATTATCAATAAATACATTACGTCTTTTCATATTCACTCTTCACTTTTTCTCAAAACATTTATCTCTATCTTCATTAAATAATGTTATTATTAACAAAAAAAATATTCTTAATTAGTGTGCAACTTCTCAAAACGACATATATTAAAAATAGAAGGTAGTATCTTTTAGGCAAAATCACAATTAATTTCATGTATGTAGTAGAGTTGTAATTTCATGTTACCATATCCATTCAACCTCTAATCAACCTGTATTTTAATTGACGTGCCAACTTCTTCTTTTTTTTGGTGTATTTGCGTAATTTTACTTAAAAAAAAAAGATGCGCCTCTATTATTTTTGTGCTATGTTGTGGTATATGTACAGTATATGATCAGTATATGCATAGTATATATAGAGTAATGCTCACCTACCCACGGTGGGCACATGTTAATATGCTCACCGCTTATGTGGCATGCACACATTGGTGATCTATTTTTTTGAACATATTTGTTGGTGATACAGACCGAACGGATGGCAGTAAGAAAAGAAAGGGAACCGGATGCCCTCGGGATCGTACCGCTGTCGAACGGATTGGAGAGAATAAGTGAGATCTGTTTAATCATTACGAGAGTCAGCCGTACTGCGCGCATTAAATGCGGAGATACAGGAAAATCTCTTATCCGACAGCAAAGGAAAAATAGGGACGCGTGCCACGATTCAGACGACTCTCAGATATTGGGAAAAGATTACCAAGTACAATTAGCATTAAATGTTGAATGACTAATATCTAAAAATATCCTGCAAAAGGAAATGTAAAAATCCCCAAGAGAGAAATGTAAAGTCCCTAAATTTCCTATAAAAGGGAGGGGAGGACATCATTTAATGCGATGAGTTAATGCTCTCATTAATTACTCAATAAGTCACGGATAGACTGAGCATTCGGACCAGTAAAATAAAACCGAATCATAAACACAAATACTATTCGTGCAGACCGAACAGAGTACACATCTTAGTGTACAGTTCGAACACATTGTTGGTCATTTTTAGACATCAACAATTGGCGCTAGAAGGAGTGCTATTCCAGCATGTCAAAGGCAACTGCATCATCATCAAGCCAGAGTCGCCGGCGAGACTCACCAGAAGAAAGGGGAGATCGACGAAACAACCCAACGGACGGACTATTCAGCCTTTTTCAAAGACCCAAACTTTGTTAAGGGAATATCAAACCTGATAACATAGATCCGGCCCTCTACGTCTCAAGCACCCAAAACTCCAGCCAAAAAAGACCTTACAAACACCCTCAAAGGCAAGGAAACAAACGTTCGCGAAGAAACCACCCGATCGCCCGGGAGCACGAAGAAAAATCCACTACCCAGACGGAAAATGAACAGACGGACGAAAGTCGCTCGGTCACGGATACTCGAACCCGAAACACCACCCGGTCGATTTTCAGACGGCTGGGAAAAAACATGGCCGACGACGACTTGAGGAGAACATTGACCAGAAGGCGAACGACTCAAGCCGAAGAAGACGAAATGAAGAGCCTCCAAAGAAGAATAGCCGAACTCGGAGCTCGACGTTCGGCCCAAAAACAACTAGTTTCCACCGTACAGGATCTGACGGAAGTCCCTCTCAAACGAGCCACGACAGCATCAAGGGCACGAACGGAATCCAGCCCAGCCGAACCCGAATCACCCCTAACATTTGATGTTTTGCAGGAACAGCTGCCCGAGAAGATCAAGATCCCGCAGATCGGATTTTATGACGGAACATCTAACCCAGACACCCACTTAGGATTATACACGTCATGGATGGACCTGCACGGAGCACCGGACGCCCTCCGCTGCCGGATGTTCTCATTAACTCTGGGAGAAAAAGCACAAAGATGGTACCATTCGCTCGCCCCACATTCGGTCGCTAAGTGGTCACAATTAAAGTCCATGTTCCGAACCCACTTCATCGGATCCCAGGCGTGCCGAATTCCCAAAGAATCGATCACTCACATTATCCAGGGAGCAGACGAGAGTTTGAAGAATTACATCACTCGTTTCAATGAACGGGTACAAAATATGGAACCGTGTCATCAGGAGACCTTGCTCGTTTCGGCATATTCAGGACTGAGACCAAACTCGATGTTCAAATGGACCCTCTGCCAGAACAAACCTCAGACGTATCACGAATTTTTTATGAAAGCTCAACAACATATCATGGCAGAAAAAAACATGTTCGTTCCATCGTTCCCAGCCCTGAACGAGCAAATCGCCAAAGCAAAGGAGTCCCGACCGAACAAGGAGTTTGTGAAGGACGGAAGAAGCTCCCAATTCCTAGCCATTCAGAGGAAACATCACGAGGAACTCACGAACAGCTACCAGGGGGTGTATTCGGCCGGCGCAGCCGTAGTGTATGAAGAGTTGAAGAACAAGGGGATCATCCCAGACCCCAGACCGATCAGGGCCGATGAAGAAAATCTAGACAAAAGC